ACTATTAACCACATGGAAGTTTGTATGATAGAAATTTAGGGATTTGGGCCACTGAATCAAAGGAAATTATCCAGGTGAACTGTATACTAGATAAGGGGATAAAAAAAGATGAGAGAGAAGTCTGATCATTTTGCGTTCATGTGAATGAGAAAAAATGACTGAATTAAAATGTTGCGTAGTGCTAGAGCGATAGCACAGCGGCAGGGCGTTTGCCTTGCACGCAGCCAATGTGGCCGATGCAAGTTCGATTCCTCCACCCCTCTGGGAGAGCCCGGCAAGCTACCAAGAGTATCCGCCCGCACGGCAGAGCCTGGCAGGCTCCCCATGATGTATTCGATATGCCAAACACAGTAACAACAAAGTCTCCAATGGAGACGTTACTGGGCCCGCTCGAGCAAATCGATGAACAATGGGAGGACAGTGATGCAGTGCCAGAGATTGAAAGATAGTCTTCTTACTCTCCAATCTCTCAGTTCTCCAGGTTTATATATAACCTTATATATAAGATTATATCTATATATTTATATATAAATAAAATATATCCATATGATTTTTTATTTGGTTCATGTCTTTTTCTGGGGTTTTCAGATGCCCTAAGTCATAAAAGTTAAGATTATAAAAGATGATTTCCATGAGCAAGGGCTCTAAGAAATCAGGGGTCCCCAGAGGCTTGAGGGTTTTGTGTTTGTTTGTTTGCTTATTTGTTAGTTTGTTTGCTTTATCATCCTGCGTATTCTTTGGGGCTTCTCTGAAATGTACAACATGCTGCTTCCCTTCATGAAGAACTGAATTTTAGGCGTAGAGAAAGGCTGGGAGGCTTGCAGTTCCGCAGGCACTGGGTGGAGCAAGAGGCAGGCCGAATTCCACAGCCATCCCTGCTTTTCAGCTCCTTTCAACCATATTTCTTTCCCCCCCACCCCCTCCTCCCTCGTTTCACCCCCTCCAAGAGACTTTTGTGTTGTTTTAGTCTTTTACCACCCTGCACATTTTGCTCTTTTGTTTTTGTGCCCCTCACTCCCAACCCTCCGCCCCCTACCGTGTGTCCTGATAGAAATCTCACTCATGCATTTCCTTTTTGATTTCAATGGCTTATTCTGTCTTCCTCCTTTTTCTGCCTTCAATGTTTGATCCCCTTCCCCCCTCCTCCCTTTTTTTTTTGCCTCTGGTCCCCCAAGAGAAAGACCCACCATCCCGCTGGGACTGGATGACGGTGCTGTGAGCATTCACAGTGCCAGCTCTGCGCACATCTGTGAGGCTTTTGTCCTGGGGCAGAGGAGGATTTGGAATGGTCTGCTGGCTGCGTCAGGGAGACTAGTGGGAAATGAGGTTTGGAGAGAGAGGCCACGGGGAGGTGGAAGGAATCGCCAAGGGGATTTGGATGCCTTGGTGTGGGAAGCAAATTAAAGAGGCATGTTGCAAAAGGCAGATCACATGTGACATATGAGTCCAAGCTTGATATTCAGATTGCATCTGCATAAATTGTGGTATCTGATGGAAGAACCTAAAGAATGAGACCCGGGCAACAAACCTGCACTGTGGAAAGCCAAGACAGACGCCCAACCACCACTCCCTTTACTTTCCCAAGTGGTGAGATTTGTGCAGTTTTGCTTCCCAGCAAGGCTTCAGCCACTCAGACTTGGAGTTTGCTGTAACGGAAGGGTCCAAGGATGTGGTGCTCCGAGGGCCCTTTGGCACCTGGGATTGACTCAGCCACCAGGGAGTGCTCGCCGGTCTCCAGGGCTACCCCCAGAAGTGCTAGTGGCATCCTAGGGCTGCACGCAAAGTTGCTAGGGGAGGGTAGCCCGTGTTGGGGATTGGACAGGGACCATCACATTTAGGCATTTGCAATCTCAGTCCCACACATGCATTTTTAAAAATGCCTTCAGTTCATTTTTAAAAAGTAATTCTGTCCTTAGTATTTTTGAGGGGGGAAAATGTAAAAATCATTGCTATCCCTTATTCTGAATACTTTCTATAGTATCAACCAATTTAATTCTTACCACAATCCTATAGTGAAGCCACAGCAGTAAAGTTATCTCTATTTGACAAGTGGTAAAAAGAAAAAAAGAGTTGTTAGATTACTTGTCAAAACTTATACGTAATATAAGATACAGTCTCTGCCATCCATATTTCTAAAACCCCGCAAGGGAACTGAGCATGAAGACATGAGCCCGGTGTTGAGAACGCTCCCCAGGCAGAGGGCAGTGGCACAGGGCAGTGCTTTGCTTCCTCCCTACATGTCATGAAGAAACCTACAGCCATATTCCTTTCATAGCAATTCAGCCGTTGTTTGCTGACACAATTGAACTGCACGAAGAGACTGGACTCTTGACATTAACCTGGGAAAGGCAGAGAGCAAACTCTTCTTTTTATATTCAGGAACATCATGAGTTTTCTTGCAGATAACTTAATGACATTCCTTCAGATTCCTTAGGGAAAAGACTTGGTACCCACAATAGATGTAGGTTCAAAGTTGGGACAAAGTAGGTTCCAACCCCATGTGATCCCCATTGATATATTGGAATATAAGGAATATGGGTTGGTTTGTTTTTCCTTGTCACTGTCACTATCCTCCCGTTGTTCATCAATTTGCTCGAGCGGACCCAGTAACATTGTGAGACTTGTCACTGTGTTTGGCATATCGAATATGCCACGGGTAGCTTGCCAGGCTTTGCCATGTGGGCGAGATGCTCTCAGTAGCTTGTCAAGCTCTCTGAGAGGAGCAGAGGAATCGAACCCGGGTCAGCCAGGTCGACTGCATGCTAGGCAAATGCCCTACCCACTGTACTATCGCTCTAGCCCAGTTTTTGTTATTTTTATTTATCTTGCTATCCCCTCTCAAACTCTTTTATCAGTGCTACTACACAACACAAAGAACTATTTAAAAAATAGCTCTGAAGGACTGGATCAATAGTACATTGGATAGGGCATTTGCCTTGCACATGGCCAACCTGGGTTCAATCCCCGTGGTCCCCTCAGCAGAGCCAGGAGTTATCCCTGAGCAAAGCTGGGTGTAGCCCCAAAACAAAAACAAAAGAGTCCATTGAGGGCACCAAAGGGGGACAGAAAACTCTATTCTTGTCTTAGGCCGCACCTGACCCTCCTCTTGCTTCTTGCTTCCTCCCCTACAGCCCCCAACCTCCCCCTGCACCCCTCACTTGCTAGCACTATGCGCATGCAGGTAGTTTAGTTTATTATTTGGGAGTGAGGGCTGGCCACACCTGGCTGTGCTAAGGTCTTGATTCTGGCTCTGTGCCTCAGGAATCACCCCTGGTCTTTGGGTGGATGGAGTGGGGGTGGGGGGTGTACACATGTCCGCCACTTTTGCAGAGCAAGTGCCTAACCCCTGTACTATCTCTTCCCCAGGTATTTTAAAGCCATTTCTTTTGAAATGATTAAAAATGGCACCTGTGGGGGCTGGAGCAATAGCACAGCGGGTAGGGTGTCTGCCTTGCACGCAGCCGACCCAGGTTCGATTCCCAGCATCCCATATGGTCCCCTGAACACTGCCAGGAGTGATTCCTGAGTGCAGAGCCAGGAGTAACCCCTGTGCATCGCCGGGTATGACCCAAAAAGCAAAAAACAAAAATGGCACCTGTACTATTAGTAATAGCAACCCACTCCTACGTATCAGCTAGTGGCCTCTCTTCCCTCTTCATTACCTTTTTGCCCCCCAGAATTCAAAATATTATGCTCTCTTATGATGATGTGTATTGATGAGAGGATGAAGAAAATTCGAATTAACTAGACTCATCAGAGCAAATCAGTTCCTGAAGGCTATAACTAGAATTTCTTTAGATAGATATCATGAACCAGAGCAGCTCATGTTAGTGACAGCCCTGCTCCACCTCTGCCCAGTGTGGAGGACTCTCCCAGAGGCGGGATGGTGAGCTGTCTGAGCCATGTTCCACTTCCAAAAGAGATCCGCTGCTCTGGGCACATCCTGGGCTGCATTTATTGCGCAGAGATTCTGAGAAGCAAGGTTCTTCCTCTTCCTGGTGCCCACTTTCAGAGGCTGAACCTTTCCTCAAAGATTCAACTGCTTCACCATCCTCTTGCTTACATGGAGCCTGGGACGCCAAAGCTTGTGGACCTACCGCAGTGGCAGCTCTGATCTGTCCTATTAAAGGACAGTGCTGAACAGAGAACCTGAAATAAGACTTCCTCCTAAATGCTCCTGCCATGAGCAGTGATGATAGGAACAAAACTGGATCCTTAGAGATACATGATTCAAATCTAAGCGGCAACAAAGCAATGCTGGTGCATCTCCTTCCTGACTAGAACGCCAGCATAGCATCTTGACCTTGGTGGAATGGCCACGTCATGTCAGAGAACAGGACACTTATTCCTCCCTGCACTTGCCAGCCACTGCTTTAACCACATGACTTGCGTTAACTTAGGCAACCTCACAGCCATCCTAAGTGATAAGTATTATTCACTCTACTTTACATTAAAGACAATTATAGGAGAGAGATGAGAGACTTGATGAATTTGATGAATTTCTCCTAAGATCTGGTGTGATTGGCAGGGAAAGCTGGAAATCAGAAGCAAAGAGACTCTACTCCAGAGACTCACTTCTAATCACTACAGAATGCTGATTTGCACTTTGTGTGTGTGTGTGTGGGGGGGGGAGGGGGCGTGGTACTCATACTAAGGTTGTTACGACTCCTACTTTCCCAGGACTACAGGCTGAAGAGCAAAGCTGAGTGAATTCCATGTTTGTAGAATCCATATTATTGGCTGCTTAGGTCGATAGAGTAATCAACAAAAATTTTCTTAATACTCCAGGGAGTTGGGATGATAACTGGAGTTCAAGCAATGAATGTAGAAGACCCGGGTTCTGTCTTTAGCACCGCATACCCCCTCCCCCAGCAATGAACACTGACAGGAGTTACCCTGGGGTACTCTTTTTCAGTTTTCCAAGGCATTGTAAATCTTGTCCATTTTTGTTAATGGTTATTTCTTAAACTGAATTTTAATTGGCATTTTCTGTCATTTAGGACCCTCTGAGTTATTGGATATGGCAGACAGTGAAACGTGAGTATTGTCTTTCCTTACCTGGGCTAGATTTTATTTCTTCAGACTAAATCTAGAAGAATGTAGTCCCCAGAGTCTGCATGGGCGACATAAGTATCAGTTATTAGAAAACCCATTCACAGTGCAGTGAGCACCTACTTTGCCTGAGGGTGGCCAAAGTTTGAACCCTGGCACTGCATGGTCCTTTTAGTAGCTTCCCAAGCACTGAAATTCGAGTAAACCCTGAGCACCAATAGGTGAAGCCTCAAAACAAACACACAAAGTCCCCTTTTTTGTCTGTTTGTTTTGGGGTTACACCTAGTGGCACTCAGGGCTTACTCCTAGTTCTGCACTCCGAGGTCACTCCTGGTAGACTCAGAGGACCACTGGACCCCAGGGATTGAACTGGGGTCAACTGCATGTGAGGCAAACATCCTACTCACTGTACTATAGCTCCAACCCCACAAAGTCCACTTCTAATTATGTTTATAATTATGTGAGGCTAAGTTTCTTAAAAAGAGTTTTATGTAATAGAAATCAACACAAACTTCTAACTTATCACCCAAACCTTCTTCAGGTGAAGTATTTTTGCGTGGTGCCTTTTGACGTTTGGCAAGTGTGCATAAATTCATTTGCCTTCTTATTCACCCATCACATCAACTATTTCTCAATACTTTTTCAACAGTTCTCCCCAGACACCCCCATCCAGCTTGTAAAGAAGCAAATTTGTGCTTTGTCTTGAATGAACAAGTTGTGTATAACCATTGAAAAACAGGGCCTGTACACTTGTGTTGTACAGTCATTGGTTGTATCAACCATGTGTGTTTCTGTGTTGGATAGAAGAAAAACACAGGTTGAAAAATCTTCTACTCTGGAGTGACCTCCAGATGGATGATGCTTGTCCTCACCTTTTAGCTACAAGTTCAACTAGCAACTAGCATAGCATCTAATCCTCTAGCCTTATGGAAGAACTCAAGAAGTTTAAAGAAATTCAGAAAGAGTTAAAGATTGGTGGAGGGGAGCCAGTGGGAATTGACTAAGTGAGAATAGAGGATAGACAGTAGAAACTAGAAAAGAATGGAAGAAAGGGGTCCAAGTTACTAGACGTGGAAGAAATGTCCACAGTTGGGTGGAGTTCATTCGTAGATGGCACATTTTCTCTACTAAGGTTGACATATCAGTACACGTGCTTTTTTTTTTTTTCTTTTTGGGTCACACTTAGCGCTGCACAGGGTTTACTCCTGGCTTTGCATTCAGGAATTACTCTGGCAATGCTCAGGGGACCATATGGGATGCTGGGATTCGAACCTGGGTCAGCCGTGTGCAAGGGAAATGCACTACCTGCTGTACTATTGCTTCATCCCCACCCACATGCTTTTTCTAAGTGCATTTGGAGCATTTGACTTGCTCCAGCACTCTGGCATTAGCATCCTTTCCATCCTAAACTCACTGGGAACGCCTTCCTCCCTCAAGTTCCTGCTATAAACGGTGATGGAGGTACTTCCATGACCTGCCTTCCACACCCAGTGACTGTTCTCAGGTCAGCTGCCCTCCCTGGTGCCTGCCCTCCTCTCCCACCAATCCTCACCAGAATCAGAGGCACTGGGATTGTTGGCCTGGTTCTGTGGAATGGAGTGCCCAGGAAAGAGTGCTCTGAATCCAGTGCTCTACTGAGCACTGTGGGAAGCAGCAGCAGCAAGTGCCAGTGGGTCTCCTGTACTGCTCCTCAATGATTTATCTTGGATGCTCCGACTCTGCCCAGATACCCATGCAGATTTGCTTCCCAGGGCCCAGACCCAGCTACAGCCATCAGTCTACCGACGGGTGCCAGAGTATCAGGACACCAAACACCAGCAGTTTCAAATAAGATTGCACGGCCCTGGGAAGTAGGCCTTTAGAAAAGTGGCTGGAGTCAGATAGAAGGACTTGTGGGAGACTAACTCACAGCTCTTTTCTTTCTTTCTCTTAATTTGGGCCATGCTTGGCAGGTTTGATGCTCAGGGTTTACTCCTGGCTCTGCACTTAGGGATCACTCTTGGTGGGGCTCCAGTAACCATTTGGGATGCTGGGGATTGAACCTGCGTAGGCCACATGCAAAGCAAGCACCTTACTCACTGTACTATTGCTTGGGCCCACTCAAAACTATTTTAGGGTCGGTAGGTGCCTCCCCTGCCAACTCCCGATCTCAGCCACCTTTAGAGCTGCCCAGAAATGTCAGGAGCAGGGGTATAAGGCTGCTCTACTCCCTCCCCTTTGCCTCCAGTCCCACCCCCACCCCTACCCCTGCCTCCAGTCCCTTGATGGGTGGTTTCCCGGTTCATCTTTGATTTAGGGGTGAGACTGCACTGCACAAGGCTGCCTGCCAGCGGAACCGGGCCGTGTGCCAGCTTCTGGTGGACGCAGGAGCATCTCTGAGAAAGACCGACTCCAAGGTAACTCCATGAGTGAGTGCAAACATCCTGCCACTGAGGGAGGATGCGGGCACCATTGTCTTCCCTTGGGGCCCAGAGCAAAGGCGTCCTTTCTGTGCTTATGGAAGTGCCCAGAGCTATGGAAAAAGGAGGAAAAAATAAAGTGCTTAATTTAGAGAAACTGCAGTTTGAACTTAAACACACAAAGGGAGGAGGCGTGCTCGCCTCTAAGGCTATAGAGCGTTCTGAGCGCACTGGGAACGTGGAGGTGGTCCCCAAATGCCAGCAGCACAGAGACTGTCTCCAGGATTTGGAGCTGGTGAGGGAGAAGCTCCTTTGGGAATTCTCCTCCAGCTAATTAGTCCAGTAGAGCTTAAAACCGATGCTTCATGTCACCCTCAGATATGGGTGCCAAAGTCATAGGCACAGGTTGCCAAAAGCAGACCCCAGCTATGAATACATTACAGTCTTCAGTCTGTTGCATGTATGTGAATTCTTTACTTTTTTTGATAATAGAATTATCAAAAAAAACTTAAGTAAAAGAAAATTTGTAAAAATTGTTTTTATCTCATCATGAGAACTTTAAGTCCTTGACTGAGGGTTTACTGAGCTATTTGTTGCTAGTGAAAACTTTGTCTTATTGTTTTCAATAAAGAGCTTAGTTGGTTTCTATGTTACTTTAACACCGAATTTGGTCTGCTTCAGCTGGAATTTGGAATTTTGGAATTTGGAAGTGTCACCTGGCCACATATGTGGCTACATGCTCTAGGTAAACTCCAGATGTCTGTAAACCTGGGTCAGTGGATGAGTTTATATAGCAGCTATGGGATGTGGATGTGGCTGCCAAGGCTTCCAGAAGTACAGAGGGGGAGGCTGCCCACCCCCCACCCTCGAGAGACCCCAGAGTTCTCAGCCTGAAAATTGGTGTACCTGAAATTTTCATGGGTTTGGTGTCTCTGCAGAGATTGGTCCTGAAGCAGTAGAGGTGAGCCATTGGCATGGCAGCAACTGTGGGGTGTGGCTGTGGCTGCCAGGGCTTCAGCAGGGTAGAGACCTGGGGCACCCCCCTTCTCAAGGGTGGCCCAGGTTTTATGCCCCAAGAGACTGGCATACCCATGAATTTTAGTGGCTAGGCTTGCATATCTTTGAGATTTAGTCATGAATTTGCAAAGATTGGCTGATGGATGAATTTACACAGTGGTGGCTGTGGGAATATGGGTGTGCCTGCCAGGGCTTCCAGAAATCTGGGAGTGTGGGGGTAATCAGCCCAAATATTAATTCAGCATTTTTGATACCCATCCCAGTGCTGTTTCAGCAGATCAGTTCTTCTTTGTGGACAAAAGACTCCCAACCGCAGCATGAAGGGTCAGAACAAAGTGGCAGAGCTGATTTTTATGTAGACTCTATAATATGTTTTACTGCCTCCCAGCAATACCCATGGCATCAGGGTTTGAAATGAAGGTGCGGGGGTGGGAGAGAGAGAGAGAGAGAGAGAGAGAGAGAGAGAGAGAGACAGAGAGACAGAGACAGAGACAGAGACAGAGACAGAGACAGAGAGAATACAGTCACTTGCTTTGCATACATCAGACTCTGATGGTGGTGATGAAGTGACCCCAAAGAATAGTTTGCAGCAGCCCATGAGCACCATCAGTTCCCCCCACCCTCAAAAAACTTTGTTAATATCTTAATAATATAATAAGATGGTACTGCTATGACGTGTATGAAGACTTTGATTAGAAAATGTCAGTAAGTTGAATTAAGTAGAAATTATTGAGGAGAATTCAGCTCAGGATGCACTATCAGATATTTCTGCATATAGGTAGCCCCCAGAAAAAGACTTGGAAAATGGAGTAAAGGAGGATTTGTAGTTTAGAGAGTTGACCTAGGGAGAGGAGGAGATGGGAGAGAAAAGAGGAAGGAAAACAAAGAGAGAATGAGAGAGATCATTTGCATAGGATATTCAGATTATCTCAGTTTTTAAGTACTCTGGTAGACTCTAAGGAAGGACAACCTACTCAACTATAAAGGGTTGCAGAGATGTTTAATATATAGATGGGAACTCCATTATTCAAATACTGGGTAACCTGTGTTTTGGGTCAAAGATCCAAGAAGCTCAAATAAATGACATACATATAAATAATAATTAGCTCCTTTAGTCTCCTAGTGGTATTTAGTCTTTTGTGACATTCACTTTATGTTCCCCTTATGTTGCCCATGGCGAATTACACTCTTTCCTCTCTGACGGAAAGAGTTGCTGCATTGGCTGGAGCGATAGCACAGCAGGTAAGGCGTTTGCCTTGCAAGCGGCCCAATATGGTCGACCCGAGTTCGATCCTCCACCGCTCTCAGAGAGCCCGGCAAGCTACCAAGAGTATCTCGCCCACACGGCAAAGCCTGGCAAGCTCCCCGTGACGTATTCAATATGCCAAACACAGTAACAAGTTTCACGATGGAGATGTTACTGAGCAAATCGATGAATAACGGGAGGATCGTGACCGTGACTGTTACCTCTGTAGCCCACCTGCACCCTTGCTCTCTTACAACATCCTTGGAGACCCAGTTTCTCATTATCTATAAAGACATGGGGCCATGTCCTGTTTTCTAGCCTGTGTACTTCCTCTTTGGCTAGACTATTAGGAAAACTCATTGAAAAGGAGCCCATTGTTCAGTAAGATCTTCTCTCCAGGTGATGTTTGCCATCAGGTTCTTTGTTATGGAACTTGACCGAGAAACACAAAGCTTACAGGCATCATCAGTGGAGACCAGGATTTGTGGTAGAGTTGGTCTTGCTGGGTTAGCTGCAGGGAGGTTGCCTGTTTATCACACAAAAGACTGGTCATATACTCAGGTCAACTCAGGTCATAAAAAGGAAGGGAGAGCCCCAAGAGCTAGAAGAACTAACAAAACACTGGACAGGAGACCTGGTCGCTGAGCAAGATATTTTATGTATCTATTTTTTTAAATAGAATTAGTGAACTTAATGTGCTTTAAAATTTCTTCCTATTTTTGTATTATCTGTGCATAGGCTTTTCGTTGAAATGCAAATGGATCTGTTTATAATATTTAATATATAAAACTGCATAATATATAAGTATGTATGACTTTCTATATAATCATTTTATTTATAAATATAGTGCATTATCACCTGGAAAATTCCAGCAATGCAGAGAAAATACAAAAGAAATTGCTACAAATTTCACAATCAAGTCTCTAAATGTTGTTAAAATTTTAATGATTTCTCTTCACAGGTAGGTAGGAATGTCTGATTTGGGGTCTCATTCTTTTAAAGCATAAAGTCATATTATATGTACTATAGGATAGATTAAGTTTTCAACTTGCTGTTAGCTTCTGATTGCATGCCATATAAAGGAATGTATCTATGCTTTCTCAATTTTAGAGATCTTTCATTTTTTTTCTTTTATCATTTGATGCCAGAAGAAAGCTGAATGTGATCATTATGACTGAACTCTCTCCTGGATTTTTTTTAAGCTGAAATACCTTGAGAATATATCTTGATTTTTAAAAAAAATCTTCTTAAAAACCAACTCTAATAAATGACCACCTCTCTGACCATTTAGGTTGAGTTTTAACCTCATTAATAATGAATCAAAGACAAAAGAGTCAAATTTGATTGATAATGCTGAGGAAACTTATTAGAAGAACTTTAAGCTAGCGTCTAAATGTTAAATTCCAACCAAGTAAGTAAAATTGTAAGAGTTCAAAACCATTGCCACTTCCCTTTAGTCCCATTCCACATAACCTAGTATCCTACTAACAACAAACTTAATTTAGGTCACCACTATCCACTGTGATTGCTCAGAAGGTTTGAATAATTTTTGTTAAATTTATGAAACTGTTTCTTTGAAACAATGATCATGTCTCTTTACCTGTCCCATAGATTTTAATATCTCTCTATAAATTCATCACTGTCACTGTCACTGTCCTCCCATTGTTCATCAATTTGCTCAAACGGGCCCAGTAACGTCTCCATCGTGAGACTTGTTGTTACAGTGTTTGAATATTGAACAGTGCATATTGAATAAGTCACGGGTAGCTTGCCAGGCTTTGCCATGTGGGCGAGATACTCTTGCCACTTGCCCAGATCTCCAAGAGGGGCGGAGGATCAAACCCAACTCGGCCGAACCAGCTACACGCAAGGCAGACGCCCTACCCACTGTGCTATTGCTCCAGCCCATAACTTTATCATTGAACCAAAATTAGAAGATTCAAAGAGTGTTAATTAATTGTTAATATGAAGGGGCTTGAGCAATAGTACAACACATAGGATGTTTGGCTTGCACGGGGTCAATCCACATTTAATTCCCAGCACCCCATATGATCCTTTGAGCATTGGCAGGAGTAATTCGTGTGTGTAGAGCCAAGAGTAACTTCTGAGCACCACTGGGAGTAATCCCCACAAAAAATAGTATTGATAAGCATCCTAGAGAATCCTGAATTCCATCATTGCTCTCATTTATTGTACGTGTGTGTAGGCATGCATAAAGCATCATAATAAGTTGCAAGAGATTATAGGATCATTAAAAATAGCCATGTAGGAAAGCGTTTAAGACATAGAAAGTTTGATATATTACTAAGTGAAACAAAACACAGTAGCACATAAATATGGCTTAGGTTTTTTTTTATAAAAGTAATGCATCAAGCTATAAAAAGACAAAATAATTACTCTATGGAAGGTTAACGGCAGTTTTCTTAGTTTAAAGGAATTATTGGTGATTTTATGTTCCTCTTTATGCTTTTCTACTTTCCCAAGTTTTCTTTAATCAGCATCCATCACTTTTATAGTTCGAAGTTGACTCATTTTTTGGAGAAAAAAAATTTCTAAATCAGATGGAGCAAGGGAAGTAGCTTAACTAAAGACTTTGAAACCCTTTTAGATAGTTTATGACCATCTTTCCTCTGAGTTTCTGCTTTATTCTTTGAGGAGATTGTTATAAGAGGAAGAATCCTAGGTATTTGCATGTCTGGTTTTCTATTCACCTACTCAATAACGTCTTTCTCGCTTCTTCCAAAATGGGTCAGTCTTCACAAAAATGACCATGCCACAGTTTTCCTGCTGGGGGCTCAAACTTGGGGAGCCCTAAATGTAAAACCTATCTATCTGTCCAAAGTGGTATTCTTCTCTCTCACTTGTTTAATGCAACGTCTGTTTCAGATCATAGGTGTCAGAGTGTCTGGTGACCACTAAATACATGTAGGAAGATCCTTATTGTGTGATCCTTAAGGATCTTTGTTTCTGTGATTTTATTTTCTCTCACCCCAAATGTTTGTGTCTCCCCTTCCTACTGTTTTGCCTGTAGGGTAAGACACCTCAAGACAGAGCACAGCAGGCTGGGGACCCGGATTTAGCTGCTTACCTAGAAAGTCGCCTAAACTATAAGATCATTGGCCATGAGGACCTGGAAACTGCTGTTTGACCCTGCTCGAAGGGTCAGGAGAACCTGAATGAGCATATCACCCGTGCCCTCCCGGCGACTGGGCCACCTCCCTGGAAGAAGCTGATGGAATCCATATATCTGTCTCTCTCCTGCAAGGATCTCTCTGAGGCCATACCACCAGTCTTTAAGGGCTACCAAGATGTCCCATGGAACCTGATAGCCCACTGAGGATGAGGCAGGGTACCTGGAGATTTGTGGAGTGTAAGTTCCACAAAATTCGATCCTCATTGCTTACAGCAAGTAGCATGAACTTCTGTGTTCACCTGTATAATTTATTTTAAAGATTCAAAGGACATTCGTATAAAAGGCACTGCCCCCTCCGCCCTCTATGCATTCACCCTCTCCCTGTACCGCACAATTCTACTGTAACTACCCATCGATTAAAAAAAAAAGAAAAAAAAGATGGTATGATCACTTTACATCCAGTCTTTGAAGACCTCAAGACTGTCTGAAGGTCTTTGCAAACCCTCCGAATGTTCTGCAGAAATAGAACTGTCAAACCGCTTCCATTCCTGAGACTAAATATCCCAAGAGGACTTAGTGACTCTTTGCATGTCCCCTCTCCACCCCAGTCCCTCTTCATTCTGTAGGAGCTGGGAAGTGCCACAGGAATCCTGCCAGTTTGTGAGCTCTGTCTCTGAGGTGCAGTGAAGTGGCTTGGGAGTTGTCTCTGCGGAGAGTTGTCCCTCAGCGAGGTTACCCAGGGGTCTGCCGAGGATATGGCCCTGAGCCCATGAAGGACTGGTCTGCTTGGGCTGTCTGCACAGCTCCGTACTGCCTCTCTGTAGCCATCTTTGCCTTTTGCTGCAATCGAGACGACAGTGGTTTTAAACACAGGCCCAGAGCTGGTTTGCAGGAACCACTCGACTTTAAGTGCTGTCGAAATTGCAGAGCAGAAAACCATGTGTGGGAACTGTGGTGGCAGGAAATGGAGCGCTCTGACAGCATTCACTTCTCAACTTTCCTTCGTGAGACTAGAAGGCAGGCTTAGTGACTTGAAGGAAAACAGCAAAAGCAAAAGTAGCAACCTATGTCAAAATAATGCACTTGGGCAAGAAAACAGTCAAGGGAATATTGCACAGAGACTGATAAGTATAGACTCCAGAGTACAGTGGTGAGGGGTGGGCGGGCCCATATTAGGTTTTCCTTTTTTAAGTTTCTGATTTTCATTCCCCAAATCAGCCTTGTCCTTAGGGTGCAGCCTTCTGTTCTGAGTTTCACTGCCAGTCTCCAGGATGCTTGGATCTTTTTCATGGATGTCTCACCACTACATGGCCGGTCCCATGGTCATGCCTGATAGCACTGGAGCCCCACTTTTCACATCTGGGGTAGCCTAATCCATCCTTTTCTCTATTTTCCCCTTTCAGAAAGTTCTTTGTGCAAAGTAAGATGGATGGAAGCCTTGTCAAAAGGGTTGCTAGGTCCTCCCCTAGACCTGTTGATATTTTCTGGCTCTTCTGTTAGGGGAATCTGTGTTCACCAAAATATCTGGAGGAACCAGTATTTCCATTTGCAGTGAAAATAGCAACTTGATTTGGGTTTAAATCCAGAAAGAAAGTGTTTCCTGCAGGTGTTCACTTGAGACTTAAGCCGGCACCTTTCGCTTTGCTATTAGACACAATGAGAGTGCGTCCCTAGTGTGTTTGCAGGTAAACTAGAGTGATTGGTGCTCTGTTTTAAATGTAAAGGTCCTGTGGTGGCATGTGACTTATCTGAATCTCACTTGGGCCACATAGCACCACATTGAAAGGATGGATGTGTTTTTATGCAGGAAGCAGGAGGCACTTCTCAGAAGGTGACGGGGACTTAGTCTTTCCTGGTCTATTTCAGAATCAAGTGATGTCTAGATGTGGAAAAATGGGTGGGTTGTGAGTGATGTATTTTTATACATATGCCTAGACATGGAACCATCTTTAGGGTTTTACAGTGAGGAAAGGAGGGACTACGGTAGATTGTTTCCAGAAGCTGGAAAATATATGTTCCAGGAGAATCGAATCACTGGGAATTTTTCAGTTGGTGAGACTGTCAAGGAGATGTTGTGATGACAGAAATATAATCCTTAAAACAGACTGACTCTGGCTTTGAATGGTTCCTTCCATTCCCTAGATTGAGCCAAACATTTGGCCATGCAACCTGCCTCTGCTGCCATGGCTGGGATGAAGGACTCTTTTTTTCACCAACTCCCATCTCATATTTCTCTGCGATGCCTCAAAGTAGCCCAAAGGAAATTTAGGGTACAGGTGGCTGTGGGCCAATTCAAATAGCTCCAATTGAAGTCACTAGTAAATCCCTGCTATGAAAATAAATGAGGTCCCAACTACTGTAGGGGTCCTGGTACATTTGGAAATCATTCAAAAGAAAAAGAAGGCAGTAGAGTTTTTGCATTATTGATGGGGAGCAATATAGTACGAGGCATATATCTCTTTGGAAAAGCAAACACCCCTAGGACTTGGACTTTCCAACAAATGAATATCAAAATATGAGCCAAACAGTTACATATTTAATAGCTTCAACATTAAATCTACCTCCTGGAGCATATTTATTTTTAAAATTAAGCACTGCGTGTGACATTCGGGGCTTTAGGAAAAGCTAAGGCCATATGTTCCAGGAGTTTGCAGCTCAAGTTAGGTATATAGTATCTTCTTTAATGGGACATCAGGAAGCACTGGAGCAAATGGTCTGGCTCTGCTCCAGAAACTCACATAACTTTAATTTAAAAGACATTAAACTATATAGCCATAGAAATGTCATTTTCTACTAAGCCCACAGAGGCAGGAAGACAGTGAAAAGTGACTCGCCTAGCTGACATTCCTCTGTGTTTAACTCAGAAGATCTTTGTGTAGTGGTATTATCTGCTCTGGGTTTCCATTTTTAGATGAGGCTGGTACAGGCACAAGAAATGGGGAGGTATTAAAAGATATTTCATAATCTTAAATGTAGTTATGTTTGAAGCCTTCTGCGATATTGCACTTCAAGTGAAATAGAACTCAACAAAGTTAAGCATGATCACATTAAGAGACTTGATAAAGAACAGATGCTAAGCAGGAAATACACACTATAGCTGGGTATTTAACTTAGAAAGTTCTGGTTACCTCTGCAGAGGTGATCACCAGAAACCAATGTGATTTTTGAAACAGACCTTGGCAATGACACAGCCATGAACTTCCTAATGACTGAAGGCAAACATCACCTACTCAGTTTCTCCCTCTTTTCAGAGTACCTCATACTCTCTGCTTAGACAGTCCTGCTTGCATTGATTCTCACCAGACAGTCGATTTTCATTTGTGTCTTTGCTAAAAGGATTTTATTTACTAGACACCTCATAATATCTATCCCTTAGAAAATGTGGGCTTGCCTTTTTGTGCTATTTCATGATAATTTTATTTATTTGTCTTTTCAAATTGAAGTGGAACCTGCCTTTTATTAAAAAAAAAAAAAGTCCAGGACCAGAGAGACTGTGGGCAGGGCTCATGCCTTGCATGTGGCTGACAAGGTTTAATCTCAGGCATTCCATATGGTTCCTGGAGCCTACCAGGAGAGATCTCTGAGCACAGAGGCAGGAGTAGCCCTGAACACCACTAAATGTGACCTGAAAACATGCAAACAGAGAAGTTCAAATGCCTATGCCACAAAGGATGTCCCCATACAAAATCCGGTGTTCCACTGGGCTGGGATAGGGTCTTCCATCAGACCCTCCAGACGCAATGTTAGCTTTCATCAACACTGTTATATGTTAAGTAAGAAAATATCTGTGTATGCATAAGCCCCCTGCCACCACACACACATATATAGAAATGTATTTATTTGTATGCATACCTGTGTATATATACTATATATACATAATGCTTAGATTGGAAAGAAACACTTAAGAAGCATGCAAATAATTTCACTGTATAGTTAACACCATCGGGGAAGATAAGGTAACAGAGTTTTCATTCTTCTTTCTGGTCTTCATAAGTATGAAACTTAGTTCAATTACTGTAGCACTCAAAAGACACATGACATCCACCATTACTTGTGTCATAAAACCATCCCCTTGAGGTCTTGTCATAGATTCAACCTTTCATGAAACAGAAAACTACCTGAGCCCAAAGTCTAGTTTCAGCTATTTGGGGATCTCAAGTAGATATTTGCTTCCTTAAAGGTCCATAAGGCACTTTACAAACACTTATAGAACTGACACCAACACTTATAGTACTGACACTCCATTGCTAACGCCTTTACAAAGGTACCAACACTTATAGTACTAACACTCCATTGCTAACGATATTTAACTTTAGGCAAGCTACTGTCCTGCTGTCAGGAAGGTGTAGCAACTTGGCAGGGGCTGAAGTCAGACTCCATTCCCCGACTTCCCTCAGTCAGTTAATGAAACCACTGAGAACAGCATGACATTTTACTCAATTATGCCACTTAAAAATAAAAATAGCTCATTGTTAAAATGGCTCATCATAGTCATCAAATAAAACTACTAATTGCTCCACTTAAATGGATTTTTTTTTCATTTTAGAGAAGAGGAAGAGCATCTATTAAATCAGGAAGATTTTTGATAAAGCTTTAGCATTTACTTATTATAAAATGGCTTGTCTCAATAGAACCATCATTGAATAAAATCTCAGCTTTCTCATTCTCTGAATTCCGTATTCAGATGATTTTAGCCCTATTACTTTTTCCCTGCCCAGTCTCTCAGATGGACATTGCCTGCTTTTCTTTTCTGTATCCTCTGGTTCCTTTCATATTCTGATGATGGCAATGGTCCTGCTCCTGGACTTTGACTCACTAACCTTCTCTAATTTTGTTATACAAGTGCCATAATCTCCTCCAGATACTATGTTCAAAATGCCCTCTGAGACAGGGACCCATTTTGTCCAAAGGATGAACAGATATCCATGGATCTTGATCATATCACTTTATGGCAAGACAAATTCTGAGGAGTGATCTGCAATGAAGATTAATCTTAGTTGTTTATTTATTTTTTATTGTTTAATTTTTGGCTTTGGGGCCACCCCCAGCATGTGCAGGAGTTCCTCCTGATTTTCTGCACTAAGGAATTCCTCCTGGTGGACTGCCAGGGATTAAAGCAGAGTCAGCTCTGTGCAAGGCCAATGCCCTACCCACATGGGTCCGTGTTTGTTTTTTATTTTTTAAAGATTTCAAAATGGCATGCCTGACTTTGTTACCTGAAGAGAGTACATAATCCTAGTGGCTTCTTCCAATGTGAAAACTACCTTAAAATCCACTTTTTTTTTCTTTCAAAAATTTCCCCTTGAAATCTATCTGGATGGTTAGATTATAGATGTTTTTATACGGGTGGTCATCTGTGAATCTTAGGCTGTCTTTTTTATAAGAAATCTAAACATAGGGCCAGTAGCACTGACTCACACAGTCTACTCTCTCTGGTCACCCAGCCACAGAATTCATTGCAAAAAGAAAACCACCACCAACAAAATAATAATAATAATAATTATTATTATTATTATTTTTATTATTAAGTACTATTATTATTATTGGACTGGAGTGATAGCACAGCGGGTAGGGCGTTTGTCTTGCACACGGCCCACATGGCTGACCGGAGTTTGATTCCTCCACCCCTCTCGGAGGGCCCAGCAAGATACCGAGAGTATCTCGCCTGCACGGCAAAGCCTGGCAAGCTACCCGCGACATATTCGATATG